TGCTGCTAGGTCTAGGTTCAGGCGGTCAGCTCCCCTTCGGTCACTTGTCACATACCTCCACACTGACGGCCTGCTTCGCTAAAATGACTTGATAAACTCAACCCACGGCGCAAGGGCCTCTCCTCAATTGAGGACTGGAAAATCACAAGGAGACTCACATGCCAAATTCTTCGAAACCCTGAACAGTGCAAGGATAAAGGTTGCGAGTTCCTGCCTGTCGCCTATGTAGTTTGTTCACCCTACGAGCTCGAAATTGGAATTGCTGCTGCTACAACGTCGGAGCTCCGAGACTCAGTAGCGGAACCCCTCTGTTAAAAACCGTAAGCCAAACCTTGAAGCCCTCAAAAATTCCCGGTACAGCCCATATGGGACCTGAAAATACCCGAAGACCCACCCCTATGAAAGCCCAGTAGCTGCTGGGCTGTTGTAGAACGGGCGCTGGGCCAGCGGCGGCCACCGCACCGGCCAAGTCTTGTGGAGGTGGCACGAGGTCGGTGCGAGGCAAATCCTGCGTTCAAAGGGGGTTGTACGATGCTCAGATGGGGCTTCATGACGGACTTTGGCGCCCATTATACTATAATTATAATAAGGAACCCCCGCAATAGTATTGGCAATTATTTCGACACTCACACTCGCACGCATCAGGCAAGGCTCTCATGGTTGGCAATTATTTGGGCTCCTATAATTTGGGTTTTTTGGAGAGATTTGTTCAGTTTCTCTAAGTGCATTATATCGGCTCTATATTGAGTCTATATGGAGGTTTCTGAGCGTGGGGAGGTGACTTCATTCTTGGCTGTTACTGTATAACCCGGATCGTGTGTGCGGTGGTCGAATCTATTTCTTCGCCCCTTGACTGAATCGGAGAGACAGACAGAGAGAGACAGAGAGAGTGAGAGAGAGAGAGAGAGACACAGACAAACAGACAGACCGACCGACCGACCGACAAAAACATAGACACAGACACAGTCAGACAGACTGCCAGGCAGGCCCGGACAGACACTGAACGAGTTGCCTGGCGCGCGTTCTCTTGAAATGTAAGCATGGTTTTGGCAGTCGTTGAGAGATGCGGAATCAACACCAGCCGGAGGAAGTGGTCAGATACGGTATTTACGTTACACAAACGAGGGGCGGTGGTTCAAGGGGGGGGGGGCTACCATATCCATACATACATACATACATACATACATATATATATATATATAATTGTTTATTTATTTATATATAAATATAATTCTCTGTGTGTGTGTGTATGCATGTATGTGTATACATATATATATATATTTATATGCATTTAGATCCATAGAAAGAACGACAGATCGATAGATAGCTAGATAGCTGGCTAGATAGATAGAGAGATAGAGAGATAGAGAGATAGATAGACAGATAGATAGGTAGGTAGGTAGGTAGGTAGATAGAGAGATAAAGAGATTGATAGGTAGAGAGATAACTAGAAAGATAGATAGATAGATAGATAGGTCGGGGCCTGCGGAAGGGGCCGCGGCAGACTGGACGCGGCGTTGGGTGTCATCCTGGGCACTTCTTAGGGGGTTTAGGGCTTAGGGTCTTGGGTTTTAACGTAACTATAGCAACGAGAGTATGCGACTTAACCTACTATACCCAAAAAGATATGATTCACTTCATGTGCCGGGTAACACTTCTCATATATCACTCCTTTGTGCTATCTCTCCCTGCTGCTCTATCTTGACTGAAACTCCGAAAGCCTGCGAACCCGCAAACCCATAAACCTGAACCCCTATAAACCCTAACCCTAAGGCTAAACCCTAGACGCTAATCCCTAAACCCTAAACCCCCAAACCCTTATAAAGCCTAATCCTATAAGGCTAAACCCTAACCCCTCACACAATAAGAGACCCAGCAGCTGCTGGGCGGCTCCCATAGGGAGATTCCACGTCTGAGAAAGCTGGGACAGCTGAGGTTGCTGCGATGCCTCAGGGCTTGAGGGCACTGGGGTTTAAGGCTTTTCGATGCGTTATAGGGCTCAAGGGCTTGAGGATTTTTTCGATGCCTAAGGACTTAAGGGCTTTAAGGCTTGTCGTTTTTGTTAGAGTCCTCGTTCAGACTTGCTTTTTGAACAAATGTAGCAGTCCTTGTCGTAACCCTTGTAGAAACTCGTAATCCTTGCTGGTGAATTCCCCTGAAGCCTCCAGAAAGACCCAAACCGCCCAAATTCTAAACAGGGTTTATAGGGTTTAGGGTTTAGGGTTTAGGGACGACCTGCGGCTGCCATGGAAGGGGAGGAGGCGACAGAAGCGGAGCCGGGTAAGCGCACGCTCCACGCGCGGCCGGCCCTGTAGACAGTGCATCCGTCCCCATGATACCTCCAGGGCTTAGGAATTCAGAGTGGGACGCTTCAACTCTAAACCCTACCTGCAACCGAAAAGACCTACCTCTTTAGGGTTCCTTGTTATGGTTTCTATATATATAGTTTCTGAAAAAAGGTAGGTCTTGTCGGTTGCAGGTCAAAGGGTTACCACTCAGCCTGCCTGGTCCCTGTCCGGAGACTCCCCCGACACCTGAGACACCAGGCATGCCTGCAAAGGAGCGTCCCATTGGTTTTAATTTTCTTTTCCTAGGGTTTCGGGTTTGGGGTTTAGGGCCCCATTCTTTGGGGGTCAGGGTCTCAGAGGGTTTTGCTTTATAGGGCTTGCAGGGCTTTCATTTTTGTGCTTGGTACTGCGGCTTGATGAACTTTATCAAGGCTTTCAAGCCTCGCTGTTGAGTTCCCTGGCTGGTTAAACTCCTTAAACCAAGGGCTTGCGGCTCTTGTCTTTGGCGAAAGAGGAGCTTTTAGAACTTGTTGCCTCCCAGCCACTGGGGGCGGGGTACAGACAGTAAGTCGTCATCGTCTAAGTCGTTCAGGGTTTACCTATAGCCTCCATTGTAGTTCATTTCTGGAGTTACCTTATAGGACCCGAATGCTTATTTATTTATACTCGAAACCAAAACAGGGAACTACAATGGAGACTATAGGTAGGGTTCAGGGTTTAGGCTAGGTCGTATCAGCTTGCAGCACACCGGGGTCTCGTGTAAGGTTTCGGTTTCACGTGTGTAAACCGTGAAAGGTCGAACACGGTTAGACTAGGAGAGTTTGCGGGGGAAGGACTTGTTCCTACTGTGCAATTGTTGAGCCCACGCCTGCAATTTAGGGGCCTGAATAATTCGTAACATTCTCACAAGACCAAGCTACTGCTGGAAAGACTGCAGAGGCACAAGCCAACAGCCACAACAACAAAACAATCCTAAAGCTAATGTAGATGCCTTAATATATTATGCTAAAAATGTGATAAGGAACCCCATAATAGTATTAGTAATTAATTAGGCCACTATATAACAGACTTTCAGCCCGATTAATGCAACCCAACCCCTGCACCCAATACCTTTCCCACCCAAACCCTGCACTTGTAACCAAAACTTGCCACCTCATACTGTAGACTCTGTAGGCTGCATGGATGTATGTAAGTAGGTGCGAGTGTAGACTAGGCAGGTAGGCAGGTAGGCAGGTAGGTAGGTAAGTCGGTGGGTAGGCGGTGGGTCGGCAGGTAGGTAGGTAGGTAGGTAGGTAGGTAGGTAGGTAGGTAGGTAGGTAGGCAGGTAGGTTGGTAGGCAGGTGGGTAGGCAGGTAGGTAAGTAGGTAGGTGGGTGTGACTCATGCACACCAACACTACTAGGAAAAACCCTAACAACGCCAACCACTCAAACTTAAATTCAATTGCCCATCCTGAATTAAAACATTCAGAAACACAACAACATGTATGGCATAGTAATGACGCTCTACAGCTACGTAGGCACCCGCTTAACAAGCGAAGTTGGGTCTTGGTATATGATATAGCTAACTATTAATACAAAACCCAACGGAGCAGTATTGGTAACTATTCGGTTCCACACATTACCAGGCCAGCCAGGGCGCCGGAGATGTTTGAGAACCCTTGCGGAGCCCCGCGCAGCATGAGCCCGCGCTCTGCTGCCGCAGCCTGCATTTCTTGTCCCAGGAGTTTTGTCATCACGAAGTTAAACCTTGACTCCCACATCCTAAGCTACCTGCAGAAAACCGCTACTATCAAAAAGTCTTCTGTTCTACACCCTCCTAACCTTGAAACTTCGAGGCGCAAAGGCTGAAACACGGCTACAAAGCCCTATACATGTATGATCTCATTGATGCATCTTGCATGGCCGATCTGGATCCCAAAGCCCGAAATCCGACCAACATGGCGGGCTAAAGCTCAAACCCCAAATCATGACGGAAGCCCCTAACATAGAAATAACACCAATACTACGAGCGGAGAAAATATTCTTCAAGCTGCAGCCGGTCTCCTGCACAATGGATCCTTGTGAGTGTCTAGATGAGCTGACTACTGTAGACCCCTGACTGACATACCAAATTTCCTTTCTTGATGGCCCTGGGAATTAGGATCCTCATTCTAATCCGTATGAAGGGAGAGGGGTATCTGAGTCAGGGGTCTACAATACAACATGCGCCTCCAGACTTCCGGTCTCAAAACCCTTGCCACCCCTCTGAACCCGCGGCCCTACACCTCTGAGTTTAATTTTCGGGGTTTCGGGTAACACCGCTGCACCCTTAAAGGTCCGGGAAAAAATGAGACTTCACCTCAATCTCAGCCGCAAGCATGTAGACCGCTCTGGAAAACGCTACACCAGCCCCTCAGCCTGCATACTTACTCGGAGAAGTTGAGTCTTTTGTGGTTCTACCACAAATCGTGTTAGCCTCTCAAAATCTTCACACTTGCTGCAAGACTAAACCAGTCCTCAACCCTCGACCCGACAACCCGAAATCTTCGGAACCCTTAAAGCCTTATGGTATCCCTTATAACGGCACCCCACAAACCCTAAGTCCTTTGAAGGGGCACAGAAAGGAACGCTTATGGGAAACCTTCAACCCAGAGAACCCAATGCCCCTTAATTAAGGAATATACCTTAAATCATAATATTCAGGCCCCTAAAATTTAAGGTATATTCCTTAATTAAGGGGTATTGGGTTCTCTGGGAAACCCAGCAGCACCGACCTGGGCCGCTGCCGCCTGGGCCGCTGCCGCCTGCGCCGCGGCCCGCGCAGCCTGCGCCTGCGCCTGCGCCTGCGCCTGCTGCCTTGGGAGGCTTTCTATAAAGCACTTAGTATGAGGGATCAACTGTCGGCTTCCAGCTGAGATCGTGAGACCCATCGTTCAAGGGATTTCGTTTCTTTTTGTTGTTAGGATCTTTTTCTCCTTGCTACAGTCGGAGTAGTAGGGTTAGGGCACTCCATCTGAAGAGCTGGAGGAGAACGAAAGGAAAACTTGACTGAAAAGGCTAGCGGCAGCCAAAGCAGCTCCTGCTGCAGCTGCCCTTGAAGGCGCATCTCCAGGCTAGCTTGTGCACATGCATTGATAGCTGCTTTCTTAGCCAACTCCTCTTGCTCTTGCTGCTGGCTGGGCATCGGTTGCATCGCTTGCAGGGGCTGCATGTTTTGCATGTTCTGCATGGGTTGCTGCTGGTTGGATTGCGCCATCTCAAGGCACCACCTCATCAGATCCTCCAAGTTGGGATCCGTGTCTTGGTGCACGATGCCCAGCTTCACAGATCTCGTGAAAGCCAGAGATCGAAGTTCCTTGCTTTTGAAGTTTCCAAGCTGTGAGGCAACTGTGGACGCTAGTTGGGACCGAAGGCGTTCCAGCTGCGGACATTGCACGGCGGCTCGGAAAAATACCACGAGCGCGGCATGGTCCGATGCTCTAAGTCTGGCCATGACTTGCTGCTCCACAGCAGCGAGCAGCGAAGGATGGAGATGGATTCCTGGCGTCTGGCTTTTCACATGTCAGGGCCTCCAGCACCACTGTCACTATCGCCATAAGGGAAACAGAAAGTTTACCAAATTGCCGCGTAGGTTCGTAACATGCCGAAGGATGATACGATGTTGGCTAATGACTGGTCGGAGAATAGCGTGATTTGCTCTTGGCACCAAGGTGTGATGGCGCTAAAAAACATGGAGATTTGCAAAGGAATCTGAGGTGGCGCAGAGAGATCGTAAGCCTCTGACTCAGCGGAAAAGATTTTCGCTACGGCATGGGCGGTCGATGCCACCTCCTGTGGTTTGAAAGACGTGATGAAGGGCAGGCAGCCAGGAATCATGTCCATAGCCTCAGAATAAACAGCTTTGGGAAGCCATGTAAATATGCCTTAAATTAAAACCCTTTTTAAACCCAAAGGCTCCCTCCACCCTTCTACGCCCAAAATAACAAAAACAAACGTGAGGCCCGAATGAGGATGGTTCCAAGTGGCCGCTTGCCTAGCTGCGGGATGCTTCCGCTGCAACCGTGCCTGAGTTCTTTGCACGTGAAGGCGAAGTAAATCGGGTAGGTCCTCATCCGCAAACCCTAGAAGCCCCCAGCTGTTTGAATATATAGGTTTCGGGTAGGCCCGAATCCCCAAACCAGCTAAACCCTCAGCCTGGTCAGAGCCACGGCCCACTACTGTTGATGCAATAAATCCTGCATGACCTCAAAGAACCTAAACTATGGGAATTGTGGTATATTCCTTATTCTGGGTAACGCGGGATTTATATCATCAAGCGTATTACTATCGAAGGCCGAAGTCCTAAGCCCTGCTGTGCTGTACTTCCCAGGCTGGACCCTGGACTACGTACTACGGAGTGTCCTTCAGCAAACTCTGAAGAAGAAAAGCCTCGAAAAAGCGCAGAACCATAGCAAAACATTATCGTGAGATGCTCAAGCTTAGATGACCGGGGACATGAGAAGCAAGCTCCGGGAGGTTACAGCTCGTAAACCCCCTATTAGAACATGGGGTCCAACTTCTAGACCCTAAACTTCCTAAACCCTAAACCCCAAACCCCTAAACCCCTAAACCCTTTCAACCCTATGAGCCCTATAAACCCTATAAACCCTAAACCCCTAAACCCTAAACCCTGCATACATCTCGAAGCCCTGCGAACCTTTCCGGCTCTGATCCCCTTCAGCTGGGAAGTCGGCCACACCCGTGCTCCAACCCTCAACCACGCCTCCGGCAAACCCTTGGCGCAAGCCCCGAAGAACCCACAGAATCCTTGTGGCTGAAATGTATACCTTGGCTGACTTCTGAGCCCCTCCTAAATTTAAAACTTTTCGCTGACCTATTATAATTCATGTAGAAACCCTCCTAAGAGCCAACCAGAAGAACGCCAAGTAACGGCAGCCCAGAGGATGTTCGCCACATGCTGCGGCTGCAGTTGCATGCCCCTCGCGAGGATCAAGGCCTTGTGGAAGAAGGCCTCGCACGTCGGCTTATTCCTCTTTCATTCCGGCAAGGAGCTTCGGAAAATTTCTGCCCTAAACCTTACACCCTAAACCCTACTGTATACTTCTACCCTAAACCCTAAACCCTACTGTAGGGGCTCCCGGGCCCTTCCAAGGTCCAGTTCCGAGCTGTCACGGTAGGCTTTTGGGGTTGGGATTTTACGGGTTTAGGGTTTTCGGCGCCCACACTCAGTTTAGGGTTTATAGTAGGGCTTAGGGGTTTCGCCGCTCACACTCGGTTCAGGCATGGGTTTCGGCGCTCACAACCGGACACTCCAGGCGAGGCATGTGGCTTTACACTCTCACAACTCGGACAATCCGGTCGAGCAGTATAAGGGTTTAGTGGGCAAGTTCATCGAGGCGCATCAAATATCTACTTTGATAATTTATTGTTGTGACCTCTATGCTAGCTGGTTGACCTTCAAGCATTTGTTGCAGGCTTAAACAAACTCGTCTTGAAATTATTGATTGCATACGTACAGGTACAGGTAGACTGACTTTTCAGGATGCGCAGCCGAACACGAGGATACAAAACGGCAAGAGCATGTTGCCCACAGAAATCCCTAAAACTCGCGTTCGAAAGGAAACATCACCACAACCATAATTATGGCACGGGACGTCTCCTTCAGAAATGCTGTTTGGCGCATGGGTCGTGTTCCAAATCAGAGTCCCTTTTAGTAGGGTCCTTTTTACGAGGGTGCCGTGCTCATTTGGGGACCTAACCATGGACCCTAATTAAGAGGACTACCCCACAATACATCACCACGCAGGCCCCACATTAAGGATCCCGATGACGAGAGCCTGATCCTCAAATCCCATCGCCTCCAAGTAAGATATCTTTGAAGAGGGTTTAGGGTTTAGGGTCTTAGGGCAATTTAGGGGTGATTGTAAGTCCTTTCGACAAGCCTCAGAAGGACGGACAGTTTTTTGTCTTTTCTGAGCTCCGGGCCTCGTGGTAAAAGTCATTACTCGCAAAGCCCCAAAAGGTATTGGAGAGCTCCTGCAAGATCACACGCCACCCCTAAACCCTAAACTGCCACGGTTTCGGGTTTAGGACCTGAGGCTTTGCAGCCAGCACCGAAAAATCTAGGGTCGGAGTTTGGGGTTTAGGGTAGCTTCCTAATCCTTGGACCCCCAACTGAGCGCCCTTAGAGCCATAATTCAAAGTCATATGTTTAACAGGCCCTTGGAGTGGTAATTATAACAATCCCCTAAACCCTAAACCCCAAAAAGCTACACCCTAAACCCCAAAACTCCTTTCGCCCTAAGAGCACCAAAGCCAAGGCCCTAGGAGCTGGACACGAACAACATCGTAGAATTAGAACCCTCTTGTCTGTTTGGGTGAGCTGCTGAGGTTACGGGGGAGAGTTTAGGGCTTAGAGGCTTAGGGCTTATAGGGTTTAGGGTTTAGGGGCTTAGGGGTTCAAGGGCTTAAGTTTAGGGTTTACAGGTTTAGGGCTTGAGAGATCACGAGGTCGTCTCCTAGTGCTCGAGGAATCTATGCCTCTTGAGCCTTCGAGTTCGAAGGACCCTCAATGTCGACCTCAGCCTACTAAATGCTTCAGGGTTTGGGCAAGCTTAGGGGTAAAACTTCCAGATCCCGAAAAGCGCTAGAAACGACTTCGTTTAAACAACTCACAGAAGGCGAGCTAGCACATTGTCGCGTACACCATAAAGCATAACAGCAGTACTGCGAAGTACAAGCAAGGGCAGCCACAAGTCCTCTTTTTAAGCACGGACTTGCAGTGTATAGTCCTCTAAACCCTACACCCTAAACCCGCAAGATCTCCTGCGTCTTGAACTCTTCGAGGCGTGGTACGCACTCTGCCGCGATCATCTTGAAAAGCTGATCGTCACGGTGCCCCACCGTGCCGTAGGCCCAGACCTCGGCATCTGGGGGTTTAGTATGGTTTTTAAAGTTTTGGACTTCAGGGTTTGGGACTTTAGGAATTTGGGCGTAGCGTCGGGGTCTTGAACCTGTTCAAAGGTCAAAGTTACATGAGCCAACCACCGATGATTTCCGGGAGCTTCCCTGAAGCCAAGACCAAGGAGGGGGGCTGCGTTCTAACTCTCCACCCTTAGCCCTAAACCCTAAACCCTAAACCTCCAGGCTTCGCATCAACTTGCAAGGGATGCTGTGTGCGGCCAGGGAGCGATGTTGGCCAGCTCCTGTGTCGGATATACGGTTTAGGGTTTAGGGTTTGTGGTCGCAGGCTACAGTATGTCACTTCAATGAATGTGGAAGGCTCAGCGAATTTCCCCTTCGCTTCCGATCATGCGCCAAAATCTTCAAAGGCTTGACGTAAACGAATGACCAGAAACAGACAGATTCATGTTTGCTGCTTCCTTCCTTAGTACTTAGTGACTGAAAAACACTCTGAAATAGACGCCGGAACCGCTATCCGAACCATCCAACCCATCAGCTCTTTATTCACCAGGTCCTGGCTGTTGGCCGTCGGTAGGCACGTCTGCACCTCTTTGGCAATCGCCCGGAACAGTCTCTGGCTGGCCTGAATGCAGTTTGGCATACCCAAAACCATGCAGCTGGGAATCTGAAAGCGATCTCTCAGCCGTATAAGCCCCAAACCCTAACAACCATGAGCCCTATTAGACCCTACAAACTTAAGCCCTAAAAAACCTTGAACCCTAAGAAACCTCAAACCCTAAAATTTTCAAAGAGCCTAAAAACCTAAAACCCCCCAAGAGACCTTAACCCTAAAATTTTCAAAGATCCTAACAAAACCCCAGCCTTTCGCAAAACAGGCCTGCGAACGTAACAGCTGGAGATCCAGAGCCCAACCCCTAAAAGCTTAGGGTCTAGGGGTTTATAGGGGTTTGTTTATAGGGGTTTATAGGGGTTTGTTTATAGGGTTTTTATAGGGGTTTAGGGTTTAGGGGGTTTAGGGTTCAGGGGTTTAGGGTTTAGGGTTTAGGACTTCCTACATCCATGGCCTTCGGGGTTTAGACTCTCCCAATTTGGGGTCTGGGGTTTAGGGTTTCGGGGCGTCCATCCTGAAACACCAGATACCAGATGTCGCGCTTCGCATCCCTCAAACCGTTGGGATCTGGGACACAAGTTGGCCTCTACCAAAGGTATCCCGAAGATCTGGTCATGCGGGCGCATGACAGCCCTAGGAATGCTAAAAGCCCTCGGCCCAACAAACTATAAGCCCGAAACCTCTTGAAAGTCCGGCAGCTCGCGCCCAAAATCCTGCCCTAAACCAAGTGCGGGGCCTGCTTGGCTGTGGCAAAGGCCCACGCCGCGGTGGCAAGGCTCCGGAAACCGGTGCCCGGTACGCAGGACCTCTTGGCTGCATCTCTGTACTTGAGGTTGGCTTCAGGGCAGTCGGAGGTACTATACTATAGGGGCCTTATTAATTAGAACAGGAATGATAATAAGGAGCCACAAAATAGTACTGATAAATAGTTTAGACCCCTGGATTACTTGTTGCACATGCTTGGCCCAAAGTCCACGCGGAATGAGTCGAGAAGCGGAGCTCCCGCTCCGAAGCTCAGAGCTTCTGGCAATTAGGCTTTAGGCACACAAAGAACACCTTGATAGAACCCTTATAGCCAGGTCAAAACTCTGCTAGAAACCATTTATTCGCCCCTTAAACCCTAAACCCTCAACCGACCTTTAAACTCTCGTTGAACTGGAGCTACATTGGGAACCAACGTTTGCTCGTAGTGCCTCCTTCCTGAGGGGTTGGGGGAACCCCCCCAAGTGTTTTGTTCGGGGATCTGTTGGGAACCCACCCCCCGATTGCGAAGGAAAAAACTTAAAACAATCACGCGGATTAGGGTACTTCTCCCCCCCTTCCGTTCTTTTTTTCAAGCACCGGCGAC